GGCTGCTCTCCAGCCACTCTGTCTCCATGTGCCTCATGAAATTGTAAGAAGGGAAGGCAGTGAGGAGTGCATCTGTAATGTGGTATAAGATTATACTAGGCAGGCTGGCACCCATTGTAACTTGTGAACCCCATGAAGCACAAGAAGGCCAAGTGCAATGTCCTGCAACTGAGTTGGGGCAACCCCAAGCACAAATACAAGCTGGTATTAAGAGCAGCCCTGTGGACATGAGCCAGCAATGTGCACTTGCAGCCAAAAATGCCAACCATGTTCTGGTTGCATCCAAACCAGCATGGCCAGAAGGTCAAGGGAGGGGATTCTGCCCCTCTACTCTGCCCTTGTGACACTCCACCTGGAGCACCGAATCCACCTCTGGCATCCCCAATACCAGAAGGACATGGACCTGCTGGAAGGAGTCCAGAGAAGGCCACAAATATGATCAGGATGCTGGAACGCCTCTCATATGAAGAAAGGCTGAAAGGGTTATAGCTGTTTATCCTGGAGAAGAGAGGGGTCTGGAGGGACCTTATAGCACCTTCTAGTACCTAAAGGAGGCCCACAAAGAAGCTGGAGAGAGACATGGGCATGGAATGATAGAACAAGGGGGAATGACTTCAAACTGAAAGAGAGTAGATTCAGATTAGATATTAGAAGTATGTAAATAAACAGGGAGACTGGCAATTGCAATACTTACTGACCATTAAAGCTGGAATGACTTTTCACTGTAAAGTAAGTGTTTAAGCACTTTGTGGTGGGCTCATGAGGCAAAATCCTAGATTATTTTGAATCTGGCCAGTTGTATGAGGGCAGGTTTACACACAAAGTGTGCTCTGAATGGGATGGAAATAAATGTCTCCAGTGTGTTTCTCTGTACATGTACCTTTTGGATGCTCCCGCTGAAGGGTCTGAGGATTCCAGAGTTCTTCTTCACATCATCATAACTAGGGACTCCACCAATAAATATTTCAGAGCTGCATTTAATCTGTGTAAAAGCCCCCTGCAAGAAACATAGAATAACATTTTATTAGAGTAGCTGGAACCATGCTTGTACCTTCATATTAGCCTACATTAGTTGTTATAGCCCTACATTAGATGTTCTAACTTACTTCAATGCCTCTTCTGTTAATCACATTTCATTGTACAATTCTCTGAAGAAAGCCATTGTAAGACACTCTACTGACTGTGCTTTATACTAATCAGAAGTAGCTGAAGAATCTCAAGTATTTCAAAATGACAACACTGAAGGAAGAAAGAAAGGAGACTGACTCGTGCTTTCTGATTGCACATCTAGCTCAATATTCAATGACTTGAGGTACACTGACTGTACATCTAAAACCAGAATTTGGTTTGTAAAGTTGAAATTGGAACAAAGTTCATGAAACCAAGACTTATTTGATGTTTTCAACACCTCAAAAGACAGTGTATAGCAATTTATGGGGTAAATGAAACACTGAGTTTGCATTAGTTACCAAAAGCAGTTGCCCAGGATATCTGATGGGAATGGTCAGGGTCCTGGAGTGAACTGTAAGACACTTAACAACTAAGGACAGGATAATCATGTAATTCCAGTCCTGCAGAAGCTTCTGTGCTTTCTTTGTTGGCAGCTTCCAGCCAACCTCCTCCTGCAGCTGCACTGCAGCACTTAAGAGAAAAAATACAGAAGTCTTCATCTTAACCCATCTATATAAGTAAGTCTTGACTGCTCCAATTGAATGTTTCTCACTCAATTTTTTTCTTGACAGGCAACTGAAATTTCAATTTATTTACATTTTTCAAGAAAAATCTAAGCTTTAATAGTTTTCCAGTTTGCAGAAAAGCCTGCAGATTCTTCTGTTAACACTATCTGGAGTCTGGTTTTCTGTCCTCACTTCACTAGGGAGGAATAGAGACATTTTCTGAGCAGTTCTAACTTCAGGTTTTTGGGATAAAAAAGTACCTTTGTGCATGCATTTCAGTGCTTAAGAGTTTATATCCTGGTTGGTACGAGCACAATTTCACTTATTATAAACTTTATTATAAAATTTTGGTTTATTATAAACTCATTATGATCTCTCGGTGAGGGAAGAACAAAATGCAAGTCATCAGCTGTCTGGGTTTCCCAAGCCTTACTCTGCTCTGCAAACTACTTTTGCAAGAAGACAAAGAAACAATTCACTTTTGGCCTACTTTTCCAGGACAATATTTAGAGAGAGATTAAAAACAGGACTTTGGGTACATACATTTCAGGATCATACCACTCAAGATGACACATTTTGTAGTTCACATGTTGTTAAACAGAATTAGCCAAACCAAGTACATGCCAAGAAAAGAGCCTCAAGAAGATGCATGAACCTGACACAAAAATGTGAGTCCAGTTACATGTCAGGAGTGGGTATGGTTGGATTTCAATTGCCTTTACAAGGATCCCTGTTCTCAGAGGGAAGAATTTATGTGCACATTTCCAACTTTGGGCTTAAAAAAATGTTGTCCTAACATATATACTTTTTTAAGCTTGGAAGAGCTTTGAGAGCAGACTGTTTAGTTTACCATGAAATCACTTTACAGTCTAACAGTTGCATTCAAGACAAGTCATGCCATATGCTTACCTCTGCCATCCCTTCCACTGGCTTTTGTTTGTCCACTTGTAAGATACCATTCTTTGCCGTGCGAGACACTCGCAACTCATGCCACTGACCCAGACTGACAGGTTCTTCACTCCTGTTTGAAGGGGAAGAAAACTTTCAAGTATTTAACACTTTGCCTTTCTGATATTCTGTGATGTTAAAAAGTCAAGTCCTCTGGGACAATTTTTTTAAAAAATAAATAAATATAAACCCTGTGATTCTTTCCTTATAAGGAAGTAACAATTTTCTGAGCCCCATCAGCAAAGACCATGTTCCTATAGTAAATAACAAGCACTCTGGTTTCATTTATGAATGAAACACTTCTATAATCAGCATACATTTTATTAATCTCTGAGCTAGTTTATCTGCTAACTTATAATAGGGAATGACAAATTTTTGTCTCTGCTGTACATCCTCATTTCACGACGACATAAGAGGGGAATATAAAGCTTCCCACTTAATGGTTGGTCTAGTCCCACATTCTTCATCCTCTTTTAAAACAGAACTACTTTGTATTGGTTCATCAGCTCTATTTATGCATCTCGTTACAGTGACACCTACACGTGCGCACACGTGCAGCCTGGATGCTGTACATTAAAGGGAAGTAACTAAAATATGATCCTAATGATGTGATGAGATCTTGGCTAGGAACAATAATCCCCAGTTGTACAAAGTATTCCCCAGTCTCAAAGGAAGCATTTTTAAACTGTTCTTTCAATCTTTACTAGTTCAGCACTGATATGAATAGCAGCCTGTATGAAGGGCAAAACCACATTCCTCTTTACAAGTACCACAGATCTTTGTATCTTGTTTTCAAATGTCATGTTGCTACACTGGTTAAAGCATTTTATGTCTAAATGAGATGCTTCAGCCTTTCCTCCAGGAGAAATGGAAACGTGTTTGATTCACTGGTCAAGCTGAAAAAAAATCAGAAACCGTGTTATTTAGGACCCAAGAAGACTTGACAGCTTCTAGTGAAAAAAATATCAAATTTTTTGGGGCTGAAAAACACGTGAGGAAAATATGTGATTTGGAATAGTGAGTCAATAGTGATTGAAATCCTGATTAAAAGCTATATATTTTTGAAAATGTGAAAATAACAATTTCTTTTTTTTTCCTTCACAATCAACATGAGTTTTGAAATCTTTCTGTTGCACCTATTTTGATCCTCCAAATTTTCTCAAAGCCCATTTTTACCTATTTGGACAATGCTAGGGTTTGATTATCTTAGGTAAATAAACAGCTAATGGAATTTCATCACCTTGAAGAAGTCAATGTATACATATAAAGGAACCAGATAGGTCTGGCTACCTAGTAAGTGCCAATACAAACATCTCCCCTGCTGATTGGGTCATCATCATACTAACCCTCCTGCTCTGCAAGATTTAATCACAATTAGGGATGATTAAATCTTGCAGAGTCATCATTTCAGAGCTGCAAGCTATTTCTTGGAACCACAGGCTTTTTGAAACCAGCATGAGTTTCATAGCCCTTTCTGTAGGCATTTGAACACTCCTGGCTTCTCACATGCTGTGGGGTTACTTTTCCCAAGTGATGAAGATCTAGATCCTGTGAATTCCTGGCCAAGGGAAATCCCAGGACAACAATTTCTCCTCTGAGACACCTCAGTAAATAGGTCAGGTTCTGCATATGTCCACCCTCCCAGCATCCCTTCTCCTGCTGCTTCCATTCCCAGGACACTTCAGGCAAAACACAAACTTCACCAGCATCAGTTTTCCTGCTGCTGCTGCTGCCACACATGAGTAAGCTTGCCTCAGCCAAGTTATAAAGATATTATAGTTGTCTTCTGATTATATTATATTATAATATCTAACAGCCTGGTGGCCTTATGGAACAGGTAGTCAGGATGACCAGAGCTATACCCCCATGAAAGACAACGGATAGGATGAAGCAGTATGATGAAGATCAAGGCAGACTTTTAAGTGGGTATTAATCAAGCAGGCATGAAAAACAGGGAATCTATTTCTCTTATTGAATCACTGACAGAGATGATGACAGGGTGTGAGTTGCACATGTTATCTAGAAACCGGAACTGAACAGGACAACCTGACAATTTTCAATGAAATCTGTGGGTCTCACAAGTCTTCCCCATTACCCAGATATCTCACCCTCTCTTTTCTTAGCTCAGGTGCTAGCTGACATACAGACTGCTTTCCAACAGAAAAGGGCCAGGAATGTGCTTGTGGCTCTTGCCACATTTTACAAACCTACATCTAGGTTAAACTTTAGTCCAAGGTGTTTTGAAGTGCTACAATATTCTTGGAGGAAAAAATAAAGAGTCTACGTTAAAGTTTTATGGTTGCCAGTAACAGGAATTTGATGGCTGCATTCAGAAAAAGATTAATTGAAAGCTGTTGTAAGAAGGGCCATTCTGGGTTGGAGCAAAGATCTCCAAAATTAGCTATTCCAGCCACTTTTCAGAAAGAGAATAGAACAGAGCAAGTATCGAGTGATTCTTCCTTGATATATTCTCCCAGCTTCTGGCAACTTGTCATTTAGCAATTTCCTGAGTCAGAGGCTGCATCCGTACAATTGTGTTTGATCTCCCTCAATGGAGCTTTAGTCAAATTTGTCTAATTTTCTTTTAAACCTATTTATAGATCTGGCATCTGTAACATGCTGTGACAATTCCACAACTTATTTATGTGCCGTCTGAAAGCAAACAAATAAAAAGGTCTTATATTCTTTCCTTCCTTATCTTCTTTACAATTTTACTGGTCCCTTTCTAAGTCTTGCATACAAAAAAAAATAGAGAAAAATCATTTATCTCCATGTCATTCAAAATTTAAAAATCTTTGTCTTACTTCCACTAAACTCTTTCAGTTTGAAACATTCTGCTGTACTTGTGGAAAGTGTTTCATTCCCTCCCCTGGATATCAACACTTCTCTTTTAATTTTGCTAATTTCTTCAACAATGAACTCGCCAGAATGCATTGTGGGTTTTAGCACAAGCATTGTTCCCTATTCCATTTCTAATAATTCTCTGCATTGTACTTACATTTCTGTATTTGTCCCTGAGCAGTTAGCTGTTGCTTTCACAGAACTATCCATGACGACTCCAGGACCTTTCTCTGTCAGACAAGACTAACTGTTTTTCCACAGCTGTGCATTGTTTGGCTTATGCATTATTTTGAATTTGCCCACTTGAAATTTTGTCTCTCATTCTGTCATCTGAATGGGTTCATTTGCTTGAGTCCTCATTCAGTATAAAATCAGTGCACTTCTCCTAATTGCAATATAGTAAAAATTCCTGATGTCCATCCACAGGAATCCTTGATATGCAAGACTTACAGGCAGTGTACGCATTTTGCATAAGCTTTATATAGATTACTTCTAAATATCAGGTCAGCCTGGTCAAACTGACAGCCTCCTGGGCTACATCCAAGGTACTAAGTGTCTCTGTTCAGCCCACTGCCCTTTCAGAAAGCCCAAGAAACAGCTGCCTAGAGACTGGGCACTCAATTATACAAAGAGAGGGCAGGTCTTTTTGAGGCATTTCATTGCTTCTATCCTAGACATTAATTTTAGAAGGCAATGAATCATTCTTAGAAGGTCTGTCTTTAGCTGAGAACCTCGGTGACCTATTTAAACCATATATTTATCTTATAGACAGCTTAGGTTATACAAATTGGATATGAGCCACAGGTCTCCCAAAGACCAGCACTATGAGGATGGGGAGGGACCTGTAGGTGTATCTTTTTGTGTCACCTCCAGCCTGGAACTGGAAACCACAGAGAAAGATGCTCATAAATGTGCTAATATTGTGAAATCCTGTGGCTAGAAAGTATATGCATAAAATATTTATAGATCTCTTAATTAGCTATGGTGCAATGTCATGGAGTCAAGAAGGAAACTTCTGCAATACCATACAGACACAAAAGTAACATCTGCAGTAATATGGTGGCACTGATAACAAAGCTTAGAAATGCAAAGTGATGTAGGAAGAAAATCCTGTTCCCTTCAACACAGTTCTAGTGCTTGTGTGCTTCCTTAGAAGTAGGCACTAGGCACCAGTGGGCTCACATACTTCATCACAGGCTGTTACTCTTTCCAGCCCACTGATCTCCTGTGGTGCTGTTGGAAAGGAAACATAAGCAACACCATTTACCTGATAACAGCTGTTCCTGAGCCACAGTCGAACCTGAATTCCACATAACCAGCCACCATGTTAATGGAGAGGAAGTCCTTGCTGTCTGTGTCGTAGCTGTACAAAAGGACACCAGTCTCTAAATCTGGACGAAATGTCAGCTCAAACTCCATGAAGGAAAGGTAATTCTGTGGTTCCAAGGGCCAGGGTGTGCTAGCAAATGATCTTAAGGACTCGTTGAACTGAGGTATGGCCAAGGTGAGTGCTGGAAATCCAGAAATCACAAGCAGGTCACTTGAGGCTCAAACGTAAGGGATTGACTCCTACTAACTAGTGTCAGTTTCCTTTATTAAGTACTTAAAGCTAATAGTTAGAAAAACAAACTGAAAATTTTGTCATCCAAATTAAAAATATTTTTTTATCCTAGACAATAGTGCTTCTCTCCTTAATTCCCTTACTTTTTCCAGGGATCTATTTGTGCTATAAAGCATTGAGGTCCCTTTCTTTAGTGAATCACCACAGTGTTTTTCAACCCAGCAAGCATGCACCCAGTAGGTGGTGGCATGAAAAGTTCTACAGCACAGAAAATAAGGCTGTATGTGTTTCACTATTAGCATCTCAGTGATTTTAGCAGGAAATTGTGTCCTTTAAATTTTAATATATATAACTGAAGCTAGTTTTAGAAGAAAATTGGGTATTTTTTTAGAATTAATGTACAGCTGTAGAAAAGTACACTATTTTAACTTTTGAAAAGTAAGTTTGAGATGCTTAATTATAGTTAGTTTAAATAAGGAAAGAGGTTTGAGAATCTCTAATTATGTAGAAGCTGGATGTAGCCCCAAAGTGGTGGGGGAGGGGTTTCAGTACTCAAAAAGATGAAATAACAAGTACTCTTTTCTGTCAGCATAACAGCATAAGACCTCCTAGTGTGTCTCTATGTGGAAAACACATTGAACACTAAGTAGCACATACAAGGAAATATAAGCACCCCAGCACCCACTCACCTTCTTCGCAGTGATGACCTTTAAATCCAAGAGGGCAAAGGCAAATGTATGAATCTGCTTTGCTTGCAGTACAGGTACCACTGTTGATGCAAGCTGCCTCATCACAGATGCCACTGCTACACTCACCTAAACAGGGACCCGGAACATTGATTTATCAGAGAAGTTTGTCAAAGATTTATTTGGCTGTTGAACATTGCTACTAACCAATACAATTTGCTCTCCTCCTATATTTTTCCCAATTTGTCAAATGGTGTGCAATTTAGACAAGGTAACTTGATTTTTAGCACTTTTTTTACAATACCAAACCAGCAAGAGACTTTACAAATAACAAAAAGTAACCCCTACTAACAAACATGACAGATGTAGCGTTCAACAATTCCCTGGATTGCTTATCTTCTGCTCTTGTCCCTATCTATTTTCTAATAAAGTAAAAATTTCTCTTGGTTGTTTACAAGCACCGTGACTTGTTTAATTTCAATTATCTTAAGTGCTTCTTTGTCCACTGCAAACTCAGGACATGCTGAGCATGGAAGGTGTTAATCATCATCAACTAATCTAATTAGCTAAAATGAGGTTGTCAACCATCTTGTCTGCACTAAAAGCAATCCATACCATCAGCATATGGGCTTTTAAAGAAGCATTTCTACTGTGCTGGCACATTGACTGAAACAATAAGGAGATTACTTCTTCTTGCTGGAATTAATCTGAAATTGTTGTAGCACAAATAATTTACTCATTTACCTCTTAAAACTGATACCTATGAAGTCAGATTATGCAATGGTCAAATGTACATCTGATGGAAGTTCTTGATTATTTTGTTTACTTTGTTTACTTTCTCCTTTGTTTCAATTTCTGATCAAGTAACTCTCTCCTTGTCAACAAACTGATCATATACATTAAGAAAGCCCAAATAAGACTTTTGTGGTGTACAAGTGTGAGTACATCTTTTGGAAGGGCAAAGTGTTTTATGGCAAACTAAAGCTTCCATTTATTTACAAGTACCCTGGCAGGGAAAAATGCTTCCTCTCCTCAGAGGGGAACAATTACATCTGCCCCATGCACAGCCATGGGAGCAGGAGTGCTCAGAATGCTCATTGAGCTCTTTCCCCCTTCAGGTCTGCATTGTAATGGCCACAAGAGAACTGAAGTAGGGCAGGTATCTGGTCTCTCAGATCCCTCACACGCTTGTCGATTATCATGACACTGACAGAAATGAGTAGCACTAGCTCTATTTTATAGACAAGGGAATGGAGCCAAGACATGTGTAAACAAGGTTCTCAATGTATCAAGCGTGAGACACAAACAGAAAACTAAGATAACGCTCACCTCTAGTGCATCTGCTGCACTGTGAATCAATGTTGGCAGTATGTTCAAACAGATCAAAGTTAAACAAAGTCTTTGAGAAACAGAAAAGGACAAGGTTTGAGGGACACCTTGAATTGTAATAGTCTTGGTATTTAAGGACAGGCTGCTCTCCCAACGTCTCAGTGACTTATCACAGCCCTTGGGCCAGCACTGGAGAGGTAAATCACAGATCTGATGGCTGGATATGCTTGGCTGCAGTGGCAGATGAAAAAGTAGTGAAGTTGGCAACAGAAGTCCAGGGTCTTGCCATGCCTGCTCTGAACCATAAGTGCTGCCTCCCTTGCCAGCCCCTTAGCTCTTGGTCCAGCAGGACCTTTGCTGTAGCCAGCAGAGATGATACAGGGGCAGGACAGACTCCTCTCCTCCCCACCCTCAATTCTACAGTGCCCCTGATTTTTACACTCTGCCACCTGGGAAAAAAACCCAGAAGACTGGCTAGCAAAAGTCATCCCTAAACTCTAGTAGAGTTTACTTGCTATTTTTAAATTTTAAGTTTAACTTATATGACCTATTGTTTTCAAGTCTCTTCTGGTACAGTTTCATATAAATGTGTGCAGCCATGTAAGAACAGTAAGGTGTTATCACTCCATTTTGAATCACACATGGCAGAACACAGCATTTATTTTCACTGATGTTGATTGCTAATGCAGTAGTATGTGGAGCATTCACGGATGGGAATGAAGCTAGCTGTAGCCCAAAAAGCAATAGAGACTAGGGCTCAGAGAACTTGCAGGGCTTTCATCTGTCTAAATTCCATAGATTCTCAGTCTATCATGAAATTACACTCTGCTTCCAAAGTCCTACACATTTCAGCAACTGTTTCTTGGACCACCCTGTTCTCCCTCTATATTGCACAGAGGTTTGCTCATGGTATCTAGAGAATACAGGGCAATTGTTACTAAATTTCTCACTAATTGCTTCCTTCTTGGGATGCCAAATGCACAGCTACAAAAGAGAAGAAAGATGACTTTGTGGCTGAAGCATGGCACAGAGAGTTCAGTGTTAGGGGTTCTACTTCTTGCCTTTACCATTTGCTTTCTGACTTGGGTTTACTCTTACTCTTAAACTGTTCAGAATGGGAGGCGATTAAAGCAAGGATTTTGTTGTCTTGTCTTTTTCTCAAGTGCCCATGGATGAAATAGACTAATAAATAGGACAGAACTAGTTAATTAGCTTCCCTAGTTCTCCATCTTTTAATATGCGAAGGGGAGATAATGTTATAATACCACTTCATCAAGCTGCTGGAAGTATTTATTCCATGCTATTTCTATGTCATACCAGGGCTCTGGAAAGACAGGAAAGCCTATTTGCTTCAACAGTGATGTGGTTTAATGGGGAAAGCCCTCTGTAACAGCCACAGCACTGCGGTGGTTCTGAAAGATGCATGTATTGCTTTGGACAAGTGCAATGATGACTTTAGGCAAAACACATTTGTTTGGGTCCATATTGTTTCACATACAAGCTCAGCATACATACTGTTGATGTCTGATGACATGAGTGTGTCAGTCAGGAGCATGAAGAGGCTCCCTGAGAGATGCTGACAGAAATATTGGTGCAGATGTAATTATATGGGCAACATGGAGCTTCCTCTTTGCTCATGAGAAATGGTTTTACTATTTATTGTGTACAATAACTGTGTCCATGAGAGGTTTACTACTACATACCTAGGAAAAGCAATGTGCAAAGGCACAGAGAAAAAACACGCCAAAAATGAAGACCGCACCTTCCATCCCCTGAACCTGGACTGTTCCTCGATTTGTTCCAACAGGCTAAAATGTACCCCCTGGTTTATCACTGATTAAAGACCCCATACCATTGCACTTACCAACGTCAGCACCACTGAGAGCTTTCCCTAATGGCCAGGGTCTCATATCAATCATCTTTCCGTTGATGCTAAGTGACTGGACGCAGCCCTGAAACCCACGGTTGGTGCCTGTGGCCCTGACCAGCCAGTACACACTGGGAGCACCACCAACGTAGAAGGGAGTCTGGAATGTAATTTTACTGTATTGGCCCTGAAGGGAAAACAGAGCACAACATGCTGTATAACTGACATAACACAGGATAACTTATTAAGCCACAGTGGTTATAAGCAATTTTTTTCCTCCACAAAGAATGGTGTCAGAGAATATGTGAGTTGATTATTGATAATTCCTTTCCATTAATCATTCCTCAGATTAGTCTACCATTTTCAATCAGACTTTTTGCACCCACATCCAGCATGATAATGCAGACTACTATTACAAGCACAATAAAAAAGTTAAAAATCACTGTGTTCTGAGGAGAGACTGTAATCTGTCTTTTGCTGAAAATTCTTCCTTTAGTCTTGCCAAAATTTCTTGTCTTCTAAATGCTAAGCCCTGAGGGACAGAGACCAATGCAATATTGCCTTTTGGACAGAACCCAGTAAGTGTATAGCACTGAATAATATTGAAATGACAAATAACAAGTGAAAACAAAGACAAGACAAAAGCCAATAAAATTACAACTTCAGCAGAGTTCTTCTCACTTTGCCAGTGCTAAATTTACACCTATCTTTTTCTTGGCCTATAGAAACATACACATACAGGTTTACTAAGCACTGCTACAGTGCACAGGAAAGAAGAAAAAAATGTCAAAACCCAACAGAACCTTTTTGGAACTCAAACTTCATGCTGTTGTGGGTAATGGAGTCATAATTACTTCCACATTTTGATCAAAATATGTCTGTTGCCTCCTACTCAAAGGTTCTTTCAAAACCTCACTGACCTTCAGAAGAATACATTCAAAATTCACACATTTATTCAGGGCCAATTTTTACCAATGTGTTCTTCTGACAACACTGACATTTAGCATAAAAGCTTTCTGGATTTTTCACCCCTGCCCTGCCCCCATAGTGTTTACAACAATAAATTGCATCAGCATAGCCTATATTTTGAAAGACTAAATAAGCTAAGGTTATTGTGTCTGCAGGTATTCACTCACACAGTGTACTGGCACAGCACACAGTGCACTACACTCTACACACCTCTCCTGAATCACATGTGCCCCTTGCATGGCCTCATAGCCTTGGTAAGAGAGAGCAACACATGACAGACATTGAAATACTTTCCTCTGTCATTTCCAGCTGATGAGAACTCAATGCACTGAAATTTTTTCCCTTCAGTACCTGCACATGAAAGTCTAAAGCAATAAGATGTCTGAAGCTGCTTTTCTCAAGACTAGGGATGGCATGCTAATAGTGATCACTAAAGGGAAGAGGAAAGACATATGAAACAATTTGAAACGGCTTTTTCCTCCGGTGCCTTAATTTCACTTGTTTTCTGGCTTGGCAACAGATGAGCAAAACAAGGCATCTTCCTCTATTATATTTTCTCCTGTCAGGCTCATATGAACTTGCCAGTGTTAACACATGTCAGGTCAGAATGTCCATCTCCATTGCTGTGCTTAAATCTATGTCCAGGATATTCAAGTAATTACACTTCTGTATAAGAACCTTGCATAGCTATATGCATATTATACATAAACATATACTCACATACTCATATGCATCTAATTTTTATGCCTGAGGAAGCAGAGTAACCCACTGAGGCTTGAAAAAGAAAGCAATCAGGGACACCAGCTGTACAATCTCGTAAACTTCTAACAGTGGCATCTGAGATTACCAAAGGGTAGCAGAAGGGTGACAGAGCAAGCATGGTGGACAACAGGGAAACTATGAAAGAGTAATTTGTACACTGAGTGTTCCAATACTGATGAATGAAAATACACCCTTTAAATCTGATCAAACTTGTGGTGACAAGAAAAGGTGTCATCATAATCCTGAGAAAACCCAAAGTCAAGCTGCAGGGGCAGGATTACCAACCTGAGATTTTCCTGTTACTGGAGCATTGTTATCCATCCTGAGCCAGCCACTCACTCCATCTCTGAACAATGTGACACTGTGCCAGTTCCCCAGCTTGATTTTGTATTCACTGGTTATGACTCCAACTCCAGTGCCACAGTTGAACCTGGGAGCAGGAGACAGAGACAGCAAGGTGACAATCTTACATTAACCAAACAACCAAGCCATTTTTAGAATCCAAATATTCCTTTTGCACTTGAGAACCTCTCTGTTCCACACTGCATATTAGCACATGAAAATTAGACAGCAAGTCTACATATGATCTGTTCCAAGTTTCAAACTTCATTATCTGTCTTTCTACTATAGAGAAGATTTTGTATTCTCTGGCCATACCAAGTGCATTGCAAAGCTTGCCAACAGCTAAAACTGTTTCAAGATGGGGAGTATTACAATCTGAGTTCCTGCTATCACAGTAATTTCTCTTGGGAATTTTTCTAGTTCCCTGGTGAAAGGCAGTGCTACATTAATAACTCTGCTAGTCTATTTGAAGCTCAGTACTGACTGACAAGGAGACCTCCAGGAGAGTCTCCGTGGAGCTGAATGTGCCAAAATGTGACATTTTCCCTGAGTGCTGTGCAGTGCAGGTGAACAGAAACACGACTAAGGCATATCACCCACTTCATTATTCCCCACTTTCAAAGGAATCACCCTCCCAAGTAGGAGATCCTGGAGATAGTCTTTCACATGCTTCATATCTATCAGACTGCAAGAAAACCTCTCGGTCGCTTTTTAAAAAACCCACAACTCTCATTTAAACAAGGGATATAAGATGAAGTTCCTGGTCCCTTGCAGGCATTAAATCCTTTATTTTGGTACATTATCTGCAGGCCTTTTGCTATGAAACAAAAACATTGACTATGCACAGCACGATACACCATCAGCTTAGCAAATGCAGCGGCTCACTGGCATTTCTGAAAACAGCAGTGAGCCTCAGTCTAACGCCTTGAAGAAAACTGATCATTTTGCCTTTACACTGAGGTCTGAATGAACAGAGTTCAACAGGGAACATGTTCACACACTAAAGAAGGATGATATAAAAAACATTAAAGAACTCTTAAACAATATTATATTGTCCATTTTGTGCACTGCATGGGGCAGAAGTCAAAGACTCATCATATGTAGCAGTCCCAGGAGGCAGCAACGGAGGATGGAGGTTTTACCTGAACTGGAGGTTACGTCGGATGATTGCCAGTGACATAAAATCACCACGACCGTGTTCATTTTCTCCACAGTATAGCAGCAAACCATCTTCTGATTCAGCCTGCAATCATTGAATCAACATGAAAAATCAAAGTCTAAGCCTTACAGTAACAGAAAAAAGCAAGCAGCTGTACGGTAATTTTCTCCAGAAAAGGGTCAGCATTTTTTGGATTGAGTTTTTAACTTGCAGAATCAGAAATTGATTGATCAGTTTTGAACCCTGCATTTGAAGAACCTGTAAAATCATTGCCTTAATGGTTAAATGGTTAAAGTCCATTTCCTCACAGTATGATACTATTAGACCTGGAAAAATGGCCTGAAAGTATTAACGACTGTCAGACATATCCCACATGAGACTTCTGAGCATGAAGTCTAGCAAGAATGCCCTAGCAAGCCTGTGAAGTGTAGACACATCAGACTTACTGCACATGAATACATACACTCTACTTCACATAGTCTATGAGCCTGACACTCTTCAAGCCAAACAACTCGTGTTGGCAGGATTTCTCAATATGTGCATAGCAGCTGACACACTGGCTTTTTGCAGCCATTCTGTATTTGAAACTGACAAATTGCCAGAGAAGTGTTAGATCACCAAGTGAGGCAACAGTCTGCTGATGCTCTAGTGACAACCTCATACCCTGGCTGTGAGGCTGCTTTATATGGGAGAAGGAGTGCATTCAAGAACTCAGCCACTCTTCCTACAGGCAGGCCTACCAGTTCTGTCCCTAATAAACAGACAGCATTAACACAAGCCACCACTTCAGACCTGTATTTTAATGTATCCTCATATGTTAATGTTTAAGGCAGTGTATTAGTAGCTGGTGTCCCCAGTTCCAGAGGTGGAAAATAATGTCCATGTAAATCCTGCAGGGTAGGAAAGGAACTCTGGATACAGGACAGTATTTTGCTCAGTATGACAGGATCACAGCTTCTTATACACAAAGATACCACATGCCACTGCCAAACTCTAAGTCACAAAAATTCCAGGAGCACTTCAGACTGTAGCTCGTTCATGTGACTATAACCTTCTCAACATACATAGCTGCTAGTCTGTAATAGTCTCTGGGACTCTCTCATGCAATGCCTACCAATAATGGGTGCAAACATTTTAGCTGCTTACAAACTTCATTTGCATTCACTGACAGTGAAGCCAGATTTTTACAGATGAAGGTTATGTACAGGTTCACCACAATTACATTATAAGCTATACTGAAGATAAGTTATTTTTCCATTGTCCACTGCATCAGAATAAGTAAATAAAATTTAAACCTTCTACTTGAGCCTGGAATTGCTTAAACTTACCCTGAATTCCAGGGTAATTTGGAATGTCTGATAGGATTTTTTCAGTGGTTCAAATGTGATATATGAGTAACCAGAGAACTGAGGATACTGGATACTAATGTCTGAAAAGCAAAGATAGAAGCATGTTATTTAGCAGTTTTCTCCCATACAAAAATCAATATACACATTTAGCACTAGGTAATACCAGGTGGAAATGAAAGACAGAGTTCCTCCAGAGACAACCATTAGTCAGCAACAGTCAACAATCAGTTAACCTATTGCCTTGTCCTCCCACCACTTTTCACAACTAATTCCTTTATTCCCAAGGACCTGTTGAATTTGGAAAGAAAGAGGATACTGCGGGCCAAATACTGCTCGGCAGTTTAATCACTGGCTTCAGAGGAAATTTCTCCAGATTTTCATCCTTGTTACAGAAGACAGAACCCATCAACTTTGTATTTATCTTCTTTTGAGAATTCATTTAACAAAAAGAGCACAACACAATTTTCTGTTTTGCAGGATTACAAAAACATATGAGGGAAATGTGGCCAGACTCTAGGCCACATTAATCACTGATGCTCCATAGTTACTGCATCCAACATCTGGAGAATCACTGGATGGCTCATAACATCCCAGCAGCTTCCAGCACTTCCCTAAAGTCAGCTCAGGGCAGAAGCTAAAGGGAGTGATAGAGAGAAGAGAGTCCCTGCATGCATGTCTCTATCCCTGGCTGCAACAGTGGCTCTTATTATTGCTCTTGTCAGCTGGCATTATCAATCCTCACCCTTCGCTGCCTTATGTTAGATCCCAACCCTAGTGTCAGCACAGAAAATGAAAATCATGGATGTCTTACTACCACCTGTGCAGCTAATTTTCCTATGAAATACTGAGGATAGACACACTTTCAGGTCTGAATTCTTCCTATTGCAGTGGATCTAAGTCTAACAAGGAAGGAAGGATGATAAGTCCTATTCCTCTTTGCTATTTGAATACTGAGTGTGTTCTTGCATATTTGGATCTGAATACAGTTCTCTCAGCTTTTTTTATTTGCAAGGCATATATTTTAGGCTGAGATGAAGACGACTGGTGTTATAAGCCTGAACACAACCTCAGCAGACACCAATTAACTCATGCCCTGATCACAAACAGGAGTGACTGGACCAGAATGCCATGCAGCTTTTAACTGTGAAGAAAAGTCTGTTTCCATTCAGATTAATATGCTATTTAACAATATTGGCTGAAGAAGAGAAATTCAGTACAGAGGAATATTGGCACATGATGCTACCACTTACTCTGGAATAACACACTCCCCTGTGAAAAATGGTGGGTTTGGACTGACGTTAACAAACCCGCTCTACAAGCTGCATACAGCTATGTCAGTTCACATAAATCCTCAACCCTTCATACTTGATCAAGACCTAAAATCACATCTGCAGCTGTTCCATGTCACTGAGTCAAAACAAACTATTTTCAGAATGAGCTGTCTTTCTTCCAGCACTCCAGTTTGAAGCAGATAAAACACCCTCAGTGTCTGTATCCTGGGTGCATGCAGAAACATGTGTCCCTGATGTTCTGCTGTGTGGCAGGGTCTTGGCAAATCAGACCAGCATGCAGAGGGATGGATGGATGGATCAGCTCTTTCTTAGCTGGAGGGACAGCATCACTACAACCAATGGGATACTTTCTTTGCATAAGCTCTGGCATTCACCAGGTGATCTGCTCAGTGTTCAACCCTACAAAAGGTTGAGTTTAGGTCTCCAGCGGGAAAGAACAGGGAGGCAGCCAGGGAAGCAGCAGGACAGTGTCCTTCAGCTCAGCGAGCTCTTGCCCTTGCTCAGCTGCCCTGAAGACAGGCAAGAGAATTGGTAGCAAGTCCTAACTGAGACAAAGACACCTCCTCGCATTGACTCAGGCTTCAGGTCATACTTTCTAAACTGGAGAGGGAGTTTTGTTCCTCCCTTGCCCCAGGCTGCCTGACACAAGTGCTGGGGTTACCACTGCAGCATTTCTGCCCTGAAGACCATGGGGAAAGCCTCCTCTGGAGGTGATTCTACAGCAGAAACTCCGTCTCACATCTCTGCTACAGGACCAGTACCACTCAATTGACCACACTGGAAATGGGGGTGGTTCAGGGCTCCAGCTGCTGGCAAAAGGCAAGCAAAAGTGGGAGGTTGAATATCTCTGCTGGAAGCTGTAGGTGCCATGATTGGACCCTGTCACACCTTGATGACTACCAAGATACCTGGCTCCATCAACCCTTGAATCCTAGGTGGGAGAAGGAGGATTAACCTCTCCTGTGCATCTTTACATAGGTTCTGCATTCAGCTTAATTAAAGAATAACTTTTTCCCACCTAACTGCGGAAGAAGAAGAAAGGGCACAATGTCTGAACTGGGATGTGGAATCTGCTGCTATCCTTAGGAATCCATTAAACCCAGACAGCTATTTCCAAAGTGCACTGCGGTTGATTCATTGTAAGGTGCTCCTTGCCTCAAACAAAGAGAAGCTAGCAGCAGTGGGTACACAGAAGCCTACCTTCTGCACATGTCTCTCCTCCTTTTCCCAAGTTGCAGTGGCAGCGTGAGCCCCCTCGGTCATAGTCATTGATACAAAAGCTGTCTGCAGAACAGATGGCCTCATCACAGGACAGATCAAAGAGGCGCGCAGCAGAAGTCATGCTGCCCCTCCTCGCTGCCCAGGCAGTAGTTGCCCTCGCTGTGGTTGAAGGTTTTGTGGTGGTGGGGGTGGAGGTAGTGGGTTCAGAAGTGGTTGTGAGGACCCGTGACAGGAGTCTGGAACTAGATCCTGGTGTGACCTTAGTTTCAACCAGAAATTTTCTGTTGCCTCCTTTAATAGCAGGAAGTGGTCGGAGCTGAAAGGAAATAAAGAAACACCAATTCAATAAAGCCTAAAATGTTATGCGAAAATGAAATTAATACCTTCCAAGATAAAGTTCTGAGGCAAAGAACTCACTCTCACTGAAGAAAAAGAAACAACCATGTTACTATATCTGAGTACATAATATCACATATTAAACTTCCTGACAGGACCGGGCACTTTCAAATACCAAAACTATAAAGAAAACGGAAGTGCCAAAGTGAAATCTTGACATTTACCTCTTCTATATAGATGTCGTAGTCTGAATCATCAATATCAAATCCATCATCATCACCAGTCACTGTGTCTGTGATGTACCGATGCCCATAGCTTCCACTTCCTAACTCCTCAGAGCCTAAAAAGACATAACTGGCATATTCAGTTCACATATTTTTTTCTTTACACATAGCATTTCAGATCTTACTCCATGATTCACACTTAAATCTGAAGTGATGTTAATGTTCATCCTGTACAGACAATGCAAGTGTCAGTCAGAAGATACAAGATGCTTTCCAAGTGATATACACACAATTTAAAACAAAGACCTTCATCTAGTCACTAGGTGACTCAACAAACAAAGCAGGCAACACTCAGTTCTGACTCTACAAACTGACTTTTATGCATCATTCTTCCAGCACATAGGTTCTGAACTTTTTTGGCATGGACAACATTCTAATGACTGAATTGGTTTTAGGTCAAAGTTTACCCTTTTACAGATATACAGTCCTGCATCTGCCCACCTGGCAACCAAATAAACTGGAACAGCAAAACAGATGCATCCAGGTAGTATTTAGGACTTAATTTGCCTCCACTGACACCAAAGCTCCTGAAATTCGCATCCTAAGTGTATTTGTAGACTATTTTTTTAAAATGCCATTTAGTACGTTGAAAACAGAAACATGCACAAACATCTTCCCCAAAAGAGTGGTCAGGCACTGGAACAAGCTCCCCAGGAAGTGGTCACAGCACCAAGCCTGACAGAGTCCAAGAAGTGTTTGAACAATGCTCTCAGGCATATGGTGTGATTCTTTGGGTTGTCCTGTGCAGGGCCATGAGTGGGACTCAATGATCCTTGTGGGTCCCTTCCAACTCAGGATATCCTATGATTCTACTATCATGTGTTTTTCATGCACAGAATCTGCTTCTGTCTCTCCCTGGAGCACTGAACTGCGCTGTGAAGGACTCTGGGCTGGGAACAGGCAGTTTGAATGGTTAAGAGGATCCTAATAGAAAATATCTGTGCTTTTCTGCACTTTGCATACAAATTCTGCTTAAAAAATGGCTTGTGCTTTTTAGCTATTAAAATTTACAGAAATCATGAAGATAGAAAAGCAACTACATCACTACAGTTACTTGTCATTTCAGCAAGGTTAAGAATAGACAGACATTTGCTAACCATTCAAACCAGACACTCCTATATCTGCCTTTTCCATACAATATTTTGCCATCACTTAAAAACAGCACAGGTAGCCCTTGCTTTACAAAGCCTCTGTACAGGCTGACCACAGATGCTTGTTTATTTTGGCAGCCACAAGCTGCTCTTATTTTCTGGTAAGTTAGCAGGTCCTTTACATTGCAACATGCAGAGATGCAAAGCCTTAATGGGCAGTGGCTGTCTGCAGAAAGGAGACTCAAAAATGCTCTTGATGGTAGCACCAAACAACTCAACAGTGCCAGCAAAAGTTAATAAGGCTCAGCAGACTTTCAGAAAGAGCAGTGTGAGCACAGTGCTATTAGGCTGTTTGAGCCAGTCTAACTGGGGTCAGAGATCTCCCACCTCAGTGGACAGTAAAGTAAAAGTGTTTCACCAACCTGACACAGCCAGGATTACACTTATCTAAATCTTTTTGTACTCTCTCCTCCTTTGCTGTGACTGCAACCCAGAAACCCTGGCAGACAGTTATGAAATCAAGCATATGTGCGTCAGAGATGAATGTGTGCCCTGGCTGGCGAACTGGCCACACTCCATATGCTCTGTGGGAGTTACTTATCAATGGAGTTTACATGTTACATCAGCCCATAGATCATTAGAGGCAAGTGAGTAGAGGTAATGAAGCATACACACTCACAACTAAAACAGCATGCTACACTGTGACAGAATGCATACGTCTTTCCACTCCAACGTGTATACCTAGTCATCTGTAAATAATACAGTGTAGCTGTACATCAAACAGAAGTATTCAGCACTGAGTTCTACCAAAAAGCAGAGAACCCCTAGCTTTATGACTGGTAATGAGGCTACATCCAGATTATTTCTGCTAGTGACTGTGAATTCACAGCCAAAGGCTAACCATTAGAGAATCCAACTGCGTATTTATGAACTGTTCCCAGTCCTGCAATTACTGGAATGAATTCCACCATATTGAAAGCAAGAGATGTTATCAAACTGTAAACAAAACCACTCACTCCTAGTATTCGCGTTTACAGTCACTTGGGTTAATCACTATCCAGGGTAATTTTACTCCTAGTAGAAAGGTAAGAAGACCAGACTAGAGTGGACTTGTAGGAAGAATAGAATAGAGTAGAATAGAAAATAGTTCAGTTGAAAATGACCTATGATGATCTTCTAGTCCAGCTGCATCTTCTACCTGTTACTGCATCAGAATCTCCTTTGGCAACAGTGACTCTACGAGACATGCGGTTCTACAAAACAATTTCAGTTTGTACAACCTCAAGCACAAGCATTAGAAATATGACTTGCAGTTTAACGGAACTTATATGAAAGAAGCAGAGCACAGCACCAACTCCACACCCAGCAGATGCAGCAATTTTCAGCTCATTGGAACTGTTGCTTTTAAGTCCGGTCTGTAGTATTACTTATTGCCTTTGTATTATGTGCCTGAAAGTATTTCAGAGCTAATTTAGTTCTCCTAATGGATGAAGCTGTAATTTACTGAAAAGCAATGGAAGCAATAAAGATAATTTGAGAAAAATAAAGGAAAAATCACAATCGTCAGGGGAAACAATCTAATCTGTTTTCAGACAAGCTGTGATACACAGACCCAATTTTCTAACTTAGAAGTCACAAGCTACAAAATAAACATCTATTATAGTCCAAATGCTATCATATTTTTTCTCTTTTCAATAAAACTTTTTATTGGCTTAATGGGATGTATGTTCAATAAGGATGTCAGGAATGAAGCAATATAGAGAAAGAAGTATCTTCATATTCCTACACAGGAAAATGTTAGGTTTCAAATTCATACTCAGATACACACATTTGCTTATGTGTATGGACGTGATTTGAATGCCATGCCAGTTTTACAGAAGTGTAACTCTCCTCATTTGAGTGGAGTTATCACTAAACTGCATTAATAACCACCACCATGCAATGAGACCTGGTAACTTAGGAGAGACTCGCAGCTCCCCAAGCAGCAGGTGTGCCTCTTTCATCTGGCAGATCAAAATGTTCCATGCTTTTCCATCAGAGGACCTTGGAAGACTAAATGTACCCACTATTTTAAACCAGACAATGATTCCTTTCACATTATTGAACTGATACAACATTTACAGCCTGGAGAGAGCAAAGAAGGTATGGCTTATTGTGTCTGGTAAAAAGATTGCTTTGAGGCCCTTCTTCAAAGACCTTCAGGACGTAAGTTTGGCATCACCAGAAGAAGTGTAACTTCAAAAAGTTCTAATATCCACAGATCTCTAGCACAGTCCTAAATCTCCAATTTTGCCTGTTCCTGGGTCTAGTTGAGTTTCAGCCAGTGCATGCTACATTTCTCTACCTGTTGATCTGTGAGCAGTTTTGGTAACACATAATGCACACAGGAACAATGGAGTAAAGGGATGTACTCTCTTCTGACTATGCCTGAATTTATACAGTTGAGTACACACACAAATGATATCAGCCCATTGGCTTCTCAGTTGCCCTGTTCTTCCCTACATTTGGTCTTTTGCTCACTGGACATGACATGATATGACAGTTACACGTGACATAATACTATAAAACTGCAAAACAAACAGAATGCAGAGAAATTAACAGAACTTTTTGTCGAGAAACCTCCACATCACTCCATCTCTTAAGAGCACTGTGTTCCCTTGATGGAGAGCTCATAATGGGTGGCAAATTAGGGACAATTAAGCAAAGTGGTACTCTGCAAATACCAAAACAATGACTACAGAGGTTACAAGCATGCTGTATTTAATTAAACCAATGTTTCAGTGTACAAGGAGGTGAAGTCTGATTAAGACCTTCTACCAGGTCCTATAATCCTGTTTTGTAATTAATTGAAAAATTTGTGGAGGTCATGAACTTTAGCCAGCCTCTTTCCGAATTATCAGGGATTAAGTTATACTAAAGAAATATTTTTCAAAACAAACATAAAGTCACACAAACTTTTCTTTTGCTGATTAGGTTGCCACCAGCATACTGATGAGGAGACACAAGAGAGTGCAGGAGGTAGAGCAGGGGGCAGTGCAGTGGGGGCAGATTGAATGGAAGTGTTAACAGACTGATTACTTTAATGCAGAGCCCCTCACAGGTCTAAATCCAAAATATACCATGAGCATTTTAATGAGAGTTTTATGCTTTTCAATGACTCATAGTGAGGCACTGCATATCACTTGGCCTGTCTCTTGCTTTTTGTTCCTGTCCCTATAAATATCAACACTGCTTTTGTAAGGTCTTTGGAGATCTCTGGGAAACAGTTCTGCGGAAAACCTTCTCCATTTGCTATCTCCAGGACATGTCAGCATCATTTAAATCAAGGTTTGGGCCCCAGAGATTGCCCTTTTCCTGTTCTTGAGCCTTAGCTGGCACATTCAAGCTCCATGAAGAATATTTAAGCACCTGTCTCAATGCCTTGCTCAGTGCGAGCCTGGCAGTGACAGCCAGGACCAGAGGAAGGGATGCACCCTGATAAAACAGACATGTCTGTCATATTTGCTGTGGAGAGAAGCAGGAGGGTATTTTTAACAGAAGACACTTCCTATGCTGGTCTGGCAAAGCGCAAGGCTGGTGACCTCCCAGGCACAGTGCAAACCACATCTGTTTCCTGAGGAGATGAAGGGTATTTAAGTCATGCAGGTGATGACACTTTGTTTGTTTGATTCTTTGGGGCAGTTTATTTTGTTGTTATTAAAATGAATATATGCAGTCTTTTGTTTTCAAGTGAATTGTCCATGACAATTTGAAAGATTTGATATAGCAAAACCCCAACAACCATGTAAGTGAAATACCCACAACCTACATCTGTAATTAAGAAAGGCAACATAAAATTGATTTATTGCATCATTTCCCTCTAGAAAAAATATTAATTAAACCAAATCACAAATAAATGAGAAACCAGCACACCCTTGGGGAAACTTGCCCTTTCTTTCCTCCCTGAAAATGGAGCAATAAACCAA